GCCGTGCCCAGTGCCACGCTCTGCTGCATCTTCGACTTGAAAATCACAGGTGCGCCATTAATCATGACAAAAACTCCCTGAAATCGATCTGCGATTCCACTTGTTACTTGCCCAGTCTGCATCGGTGTACGCGCTCAGCTGAAGATTGCCTGAAACTCCTTCATAACAAATTCCTTTGCTCTGCGTCGTCTTCAGATATCGCAACACTCGAATCGCTGCATTCCAGTGCTCTTCATGTGGAAATTCCAAATGACGACTCAGCTGACATACTGTATACGCAATATCTGGTCGTGTGCCTGTTGCCACATACAACAACGACCCCACTAAAGATCGATACGGTCGATTCTTCATTCTTGTGTCAGCTTTGTCCATCTTGACCATCGCTTGCCCTTCAACACTTGGATTTGACACTGCTTTCGCATCAACTTGATTAAATTTCTCGACCATTCTTGATATACACGATCCTTGACTGATCTTCAGACGTCGATTGTTGCGCAGGTACTTGACTTCGATTCCAAGAACGTATCGAACACCCCTAGTATCTTCAACTGGAAACGACTTGATAGTTGAGCTGCCACATCTTCCATCACTCCAGTAGATTCAGCCCCAATTAGAAGGTCGTCCACATATAATGCAGCGTAAATCCACGAGCCCTTGGTCTCTTTGACGAAAATGCATGAGTCTGCCACGCATGAAGAGAACCCCATCTCCACAAACACACACGAAATTGTCTTGTACCATGTAGCGGCCGCTTGTTTCAGCCCATACAGACTGCGATTCAGCTTAAGCACTTGATTATGTTCTGCACGAACACCCAGAGGAGGGTATACGTATACCTCTTCTTCCAAAACGCCATACAGAAAAGCAGTGTCGACATCATATTGATGAATCAACATCCCCTTTTGACAGCACACCGCCAAAAACACCCGTATTGAGTTGAGGTTTGCCACAGGTGAATATGTCTCCATGTAGTCAACTCCATACGTCTGCCTGTAGCCAAGTGCTACAAGACGTGCCTTGTATCGAATAATCTCACCCAGCTCGTTTCGTTTGAGTGCGAACACCCACTTGGTTCCAATCACTTTCTGGTTTGGACGCTGTGTTTGAACAGCCCAGGTGTCCTTTTCCTCTAATGCCTTGAGCTCAGCTTGAATGGCCTTGTACCAATTATCACGACGAGGTGACTTAAGAGCTTCTTCGTATGTCGTTGGGGTCTCGAACGCTGCACATGCTTGCTCATACCCAATACGTAGTCTCTTTGTGCCTTTTTCTTGACACACTTCTGAGCCGTCATAAAAGTCCTCATCAGCACCATTCACTGGTATTAACGCTTGAGATTGTCCATGTTGAACCGATTCTAGTGGAACCATCGCGGTTTCTTGCGATGCGTGAATACTTGTCTGTCGACTTGGTCGTATCACCATCTGTCCTTGTCTTGACACTTCTTCAGCCGATTCTTGATCTTCTTCAATCATCGTCACATCATCAATTTCAAACATTGGATCGTCAGCATTGGAACCCACGTGTTCAGGCATCTTGCTACTGCATCTTGATGGTAGAGCCATCGTTGTTGTACGCCTGTCTTGCATGTGACTCTCTTCTTGAACACTGTGACTGTCCTCCATTGCTATGTCCATGTCTTTCGTGACTCGTGGCTGTTCTAAATCGATAGAAACAGTGTCTTCGTCATGAACAGCGCGAAACTCTTGGTCACTTGATCTGCTGTAATGTTGCACGTACTGAAGTGGTGGTCTCTCATCGAATTTAGCCGATCTCGTGTGCGTCACCCTCTTGGCATCTTCATCCCATATTCGAAGCCCCTTGATTTGATCCGAGTAACCTAGAAAAATACATCGAATCGCCTTCTTGGTCATCTTGGTCCTGTTCGACTTGTCGACATGTGCATATCCCTTTGATCCAAATACACACATCTCGGAGAGGTCAGGCTTCTTCCCGAAGATGAACTCAAATGGAGTTTTAGTCGGGTGACTAGCACATGGAACTCGGTTTGTCACATAGACTGCCGTGTTCATCGCCTCAGCCCACCAAATTTTATCCATTTGCATATGGCTGAGCATTGCTCTGGCCCGCTCTGTCAGTGTCCTGTTCATGCGTTCGGCCAGCCCATTCTGTTGTGGCGAATAGGGTACCGTCGTTTGATGCATGATACCAGATTTTCGACATACACCGGAGAAACGTCTGTTGACGTATTCCGTCCCGTTGTCCGTCCTGGATACACTTGATCTTCTTGGACAGTTGATTCTCCATAAGTGCCTTATACTCTATAAAGCGATCCGTCACTTCCGACTTGTTCTCAATATAGTATGCGACTATATATCTCGAATAATCATCAATAAAAGTCACGACAAATCTTGATCCTCCTCGAGACTTCGATTCCATAGGTCCCATGACATCACTGTGGACCAACTGCAACACTTCCTTGGTTTTCACGTGTCCGTATGGTGACTTCAGAAACGTCTTGACGGTTGCTTTACCCATGATGCACCCTTCGCAGATCTCGATATCATCTTCAACGCCTTGATTCTTCTTGATCTTTAATCCATTGACGCAACCTGCCATACCCTTGAGCATCTTCGTTGACAGGTGACCTAATCTTGCATGCCACACTTGTAGATCAGCCGCTCCTGATCCGTCACCTGATTCTTGCTCTTGAGATGTCTCTTCGCAAACGTTGGCTACCTCAGCCGGACTGCACTCTAAGACGTACATCTTGTTTCGTCTTGGTATTTGGGCAACGACTTCCGTGTTACTTCTGATCTGACAGCTCAGATCTGAGAAGATCACTTGTAGGCCCCTCTTTGACAATGCCGATATTGACAGTAGCCTTCGGTCTAGGCCCGGCACCCATAGCGTTTCTTCGATCCTGATCACTTCACCAGTCTTGAGTTGCACGCGCACTGTCCCAACACCTTGCGCTTCCACTTCGCTGCCGTCTGCTATGGTGATCATGATCGGGTCCGTCAGTGAGTTTAAATTCGAAAACTCATTTCTGTCGGGACACATGTGGCTGCTTGCCCCACTGTCCAATAACCATCCAGCTGACGTCCGACTTGACGCAGTAAATGCTCTCTCTTCTCCAGATCGCTCTATCTCCACTTGTTCAGCCTTGCAATCTTGACGCTTGTGTCCATATTTGTTACATCGGTAACACCTTCCCGAGAACTTTTCACCTCTTGAACTTGATCTCCCCATATGTCTGCGCGGACCTTTCTTGTACTTGGAAGTGTGCGTACTTTTCGGTGCGATTTCTTGGTGTTCTGTCCTCGCCATTCCATCGTACTCCCGTCTCAGCATTTCCTTAGCGTGAAACAGTGTCATTCCGGGCATGTTCTCAATTATCTTGACGATGGGGTCATAGTCTCTCGTTAGACTACCCAATAGGATGACCAAATGCTCATCCTGTGAGATCTCTTGTCCCACAGCTTGCATAGTCATGCACAGCTCGTCAAATCTCAGGAAGTGATCCATGATGCTTCCTCCCTTGGCCAACTTGAACTCATGTAGTTGCCGCCGCAACTGCACACGATTGTGCATACTTTGCCGCAGGAAGAAAGTCTTCAGTATGTCCCATGCTTTTGCCGTTGTCTCTGCCGTGCGCACCATTGACTGAAGATTTGTGCTGATCATTGTGGACACAATCGCGAAGGCCTTCATGTCGTTGACTTTCCAAGTTGACGCGCTTGCGTCTCCTTCTTCTGGGGCCTTCATAGCGTCTAGGTGCTCTAGCAATCCCTTCTTTGCCAGCCTCATCCTTGCGTTGAACTCCCACACGAAGTAGTTATCTTCGCGGAGGATGTCGCCCGCATCCGGCGTACTTGGGCTCATAACCTTTTGACTTTTGGCAACAGCCAAGAGCGAGTTGAGGTGGGAGAGCTTAGAAGAAGGTAAAATGGAAAGTGAATTATCATCTAGCTAGGTCCTTAGTTCGTCTCGTTGTACTACTCTAAGCCTATCGATATCGACTCTATAATATTAGTAACAAAACGATGAGTCGATCCCATCGTTACACACTATCACACAGTGTCGTCCATGACATATGGTCATTAGTATCAGTAACCAACACCATTACCAATACCCATGAGCAAACTCATGCGGCCGACTACCTCCCATTCTGATTCACTAAGATGGGATTAGCCTTCACTGTGACGTGAAAGCTGTCGTCTTATACGTCCAACATGTTCATGTTGGACGGACACTAAGTAGTTGTTGGACGGACTACGAAGTGCTACCAGGTGTGTAACGGGGCACCCTTTGTCTAGGTGCCAGGAAACTTTGCGTACACTAGTACGTGCAGAATCAGCTTATTTACTGGAACGACTCGTTTAAGTAAATGTAAAAAGAGAACTGTACTTCACATAGTCAAGCTATTATTTTAACTTTAATCTTTATCTAACTAAATTAAACTACGTCGTCGTACGACGACAGCCTGCTCACCACTCATTGCGCGCGTCTAGCAGCGATTGGTGGTAATCTATGGTTGATAGGTCTTTTATCATCCAATCTTTGAGCAGCGCAGATAATCTTATCCATAAAGGGGGGTAACATCCCTCAATATTATCGATCTCGGATGGAATTGGTAGAATATTGTCATACTAGAAAATCTTTCTATTAACACCGCTTGGTGTCAATATCATGTAACAGGCTACCCCGTTACAATGGCCTTAACAACGACTGTACGAATGAAACCGGCAATGCTTGGCATTCGAAGCATTAAGAGCAAAGGTGGAACCCAAAACGTATTGACAAGGGTAATGTACACAACTCCGATAGTGAAACTGTGGTTGACATAGCAACGAACCCGTCCACCGAACAACGATCACATGGAACCGACTTCAAGGTCATGCCACCATGCAGTTTTGGAGTAAGTGTTGATTGAGTGGATGTGTATCACGGTTTCAATGAGAGCATCCGTGCTAGAAGTTGTGCTCACAAAGAGCAGCTTGAGTGTGAGTCTCTACGGACAAGACGGACAGCGCGAGAGGTATGACTTGTCTTTTAATATGGCCACTTACCCTGCACTTTGTTGATCGACTGCGTTTTGATTCTCATCACGACGCTGTCGTCGTACACAAGGAAAGCGACTGCAAAAAGTCGCATCAAGAGGCACAGTAAAAACGCACATTGCGACCAGAATAGATGACACATGTCGACAGTACACGAAAACATGCCGAAACCCTGCCTTCAATACTAATGAGGGATTGATATTCAAAGAATGAACGCAGTCGTTGTTCCTCGACTACTGCTGGTATGGTCACAATGGCAAATGGGATATCGACGGTGGCTGACAAGCTTCGGAAACTCGCGACTTCCACACAACATCTGATCCTCGACCTGAGCACCGTTGTGCATTCTTCTGACGATACGAGGTCCGCAAGAAGATCGCAATTCATGTGGACGACAGTACCCGCCGGAAGGGTGGTGTCATGCGCGTATAGTATCGGAGGACTGGAAGGACCATCGGTTTCGTCTCGACTTTCTAGTCGTCAGTGGAAAAGCATTCACGGAAAAGAAGGTGAAAACGACGGGAGTCGGTTCTAGAAAACAGCCACCTCAGGTGTATGACATTTTGAATCAGACTTGTTCAAACGCTACTTTCGACAACATTCGATCGAAGCACTTCAACATCATCATGATCGGTCTGCCTCTGTCTGCACGCCAAGAGAGCGGCGACCCACGTCCCCCTTCATTTCCCAATTTGCATCCAACCACACGATCGATCAGTAGCAACAACCCACACACGACAAAGTCACGCAACCATGTTCAGCTCGTGGGATCTCGTGCGACCGCGCTTCTGGTACCCCATGTCGTCACTCGAACAGTCTATGATGGAGCTCGAGCACATGAGTGACAGCATGATGCGACCGCGCTTCCCGTTTGGGGCGCGTCGAGAGATGCTCGCCACTCCAAATCCAACGCATGTCATGTGCTCCGGGAAGTCGACGGACGACGACGACTTCTTCGTCGACCTGCCTGTGGTGGCACACGAGTACAAGCCGACGGCGTTCCAACCGGTGCAAAATGCACCGCAACAGGATCAACAAGTATCCAGCACCAAGACATTGAAGGATGACGACCCGATGAGCCACTCGTTCTCGTCTTACTCGTTCAGCAACTCGTCTGTTGTGGACGAGAAGGGTCGACGAGTGGCAACGACGCGTCGCCGCTACGAAGACTCCACGGGTCATCTCAAAGCGGTGCATGAACGAGAGATCGACGGAAAGAAGATGCGCACGACCTGGCGACGACATGGCAAGGAAGAGGATGGACAGCACGAGTCCATCTGCTCGAGCGGTAGTCCGGAGGAGTTTGAAGCACTGTGGCAGCAGACGCCATTCGGTGCGGCACAGAAGAAGTCAGTGAAAGGCCAGCTGCAGGCCGAGTCAGAAGTTGATCGAGACGTGACACCGTCGATGACACCTGCGCCGCTGGCGGACACTACTGTCCATGAAAAGTCAACGGAGATGACATCGACCGAGACATGCGCGGAGGTAGAGACAGAAAAGAAGCGCAACTTGTAGTGTCCACTACCATGATTGAACAATTGAATGGAGGTTTGTTCTTGTGAAGAAGAAGCATTCGTTGGCGTTACCATTTGCATCGATGCGCTCAAGCGCCGTCTATCTGTAGGCAAGCTGCAAGTCGATACACTTGTCTGTACCGGACGGTATCCTCAATCGATAAGGAGACACACACGAGTATCGATATACGCGTTTACGAGTGTAAATGAATGAGACGTCCGACTTTTGGGTACCCGTTCATGAGAAGCTTTTTTAGCTTCCAGTATCTCAAGCTGCAGGATAGGAGGTTGTGGAGTGTTGAATTGTAGGACCTGAAATGCCTTTGATGCGCTTCGAGATTGAAGAAGATTTTGCAGCAGCGGAATATCGTGGACTTACATCGATTCCGATCGCCGTGTGTTATCCTTGTGGTAACGATATCATGTTCCCTAATGTAACCTGAAAGAAAGCACAAGACAAATCAACAAGCGAAATCGTTACAAAGCTGCATCAAAACTCCTCATTACGTGAAAGCTGAATGCAAGATCGATCTATGTGCTGGCTTCATCGTACATCATTGAACTCGAATGGATAGTTCATCTCGGTCAATAGGGTACAATCAACATGCATTAGCTGTAGATGGTTGCTAAAAGGAAGTTGCACGTAGATGGTTTCTTTGGACCAGGTGTGTCATGCACCTGATGGTACCCCTAGAAAGTTGATATAGAATATCTTGTCGGTTTGTAGGGGCTGACGAGTGTAATCCATTAGGTACGAAAGATCTTTGAGTAGGATTAAGATATTCTATAAGCTTCAACATTAAATAAAAGCAGTTCCCATTTTGATCTAAAGGACACGTGGCGTGCGAGTTATCTTGATCGTTGATCACTGATCACTAAGAGTAAGCAACACCTCCTTGAGGTAGCTACTCTTGAGCACTGAGTGCTGTCGATTCACTGAATCGTTTGGTTCTCTGGAACAATGACCATAAGCGTTACGCTTGCTTAATCATTGGGTTCAGTTCTTTAGCACTAACTTGCTCTTTGAGCGTTAAGTCTTCCTCTGACTTAAGAAGCTGTGTAGCTCCGCCACACTTGGTAGCACTAGTAGCCAATCTACGCCTGAGTCTATTAGACTGATCCTCTGTGAGGATGGAAAACTCTACTCCCTCTGAGGCTTAAAAGGTCGCGCTTAATAAGTTGACCGCATCTTTGGAGCCAGAGTACATGGAGTTCTTTTTTTTCACAAGGTCCTGAAGTGCTTAATGCACGTGTTGAAAGCTTCATGCAATGTGAAGCGACCCTTTTAGGGCAGGTCCAAGACCAAATAGCGTCGGCTATGCCTACACGCTATGTGTCTGTACCAGACGAAGAGGCTAGTCCTCGTCCACTTAGAGTGAAAGTTAAGAACTACTCCGGTAAGGAGGGTGAGAACCTCATCCTCTGGATCCGTGAGATTGAGATGGCCATGAGATCAGGCCTGATCACGCTTGACCATCAACAGGTCTCGCTGGCTATCTCGAAGCTCGATGGAAGAGCTAGAGAACGGGCCTTGACGTGTAGCACGTCGGTGGACATAGCGTTTCCCACATGGGAGTCGCTCAAGTCACAATTGGTACAGGTGTTTTCTCCACCTAACCAGGCTTACCGCATGCGTTCACTCTTTCTTTCTACCCGCCAGGATGCGAATGAATTATCGGACTATGTCCAAGAGCTGCGAACGCTCACGGCTGCAATGCAGTCTGACCCTCTGCCTGAAGCAGTCCATGTGACTATCTTCATGGAAGGTCTACGTACTGGCATTGCCAGAACCGAAGTTTTCGGGTTCACCCCTCTACGTTCGAAAAAGCCGTAGGAATTGCTCTTAGTGCTGAGCATTACGTCAAGTCGGCCAGGCTTGGCTAGAATGGGTGCAACCCTAGCTCTGCGAGAGTAACTCCACAAGTGGTCCGGCCTTAAACAGACCGGAACCGATGGATCTCAGCTATGCTGAAGATGAAGGCGAAGTTGAACTTCAAGCTGCTGAGAAGAACACGTCGTACGATGATATTTAACGTGCGAAAGCACTAAACAATTGCAGCACGGTTACCCTTTGCGTGAACTGCGTCAGGCTACAAGACAACGTTCAACCCCGATCCATAAGTCTGGCATGGAACAAAGAAATTCCGAGACCCAGTAGGCGCGGGGCACCCTACCGGTGAAGATTTGGCATCCGTCACACATCTAGAAGGTAAGGTTAAACAGAGCTTAGCCCCAAAGAGCTCTGTACCTATCGGTATGGAGCCTGGCTTGTTAGTCGCTGAGACGAAAAAAAGGGCTTTGAGAGGCC